TTTAGGGTTATGACAGGAGCCCTGCGCTAGAACGAGGCTCCAGGCTGTACCTTCGGCGGTGATCCTTTCAGTAACCTAAACTCTCCCTGAGAGAACCCTTGTAGATCCCTTAAAGGAACCCTAGCCTGAGGGTCCTAACACTTTGGGGAGCCTCAACATGTAGGATTTCTGAGACCCCATTGGCTCTCCCTAGGAGATTCCGGACCCTGCTCGGCAGATACGTGGACCCTTCGGGTAGACGCTATAAAGCCCTGGACCCCAAAACTCTAAACATTAAAACCCTAAACCCCAAAGCTCTCAGCCCCCTTCTATAGAACCCTTATAGATCCCTCAAAGGAAATTTTTGAGGAACCCTAGTTTCTGGGAGCATCCCAATCCTCAGTAGCTGAGTGGATACACTTTACACTTTTTCGGGATAGCATTACCCACTATAAAACTGAAAGCTTACACTTTTCGGAGGCTTATGAACTCAGCAACTAAGCTCCAAATACTAAACCCTTATGCAAGGGGCCTGAATCAGTAGTAGTTTATACGATTTCTGAGGGTTTATACAGCTGTAGCTATGGTATAGATGCACCAGAATCCAAGTCTGATTCTTGACGTTCCTTACATTAAACTCTGTGCCTTGGCGATAGGTTGCGATTCGTGCGAACCTGGCCCGCAGATCTTAAGCCCTGGACCCCAAATCCTTAAACTACTGTTGATGGACAAAATCCTGCATGACCCATAATAAGGAATATACCATAATTCCCGTAGTTTAGAGTCCTTAGGGTCATGCAGGATTTTGTCCATCAACAGTAGGATGCCCAGTACTACCCTTTTTCACTTGTTTTGTAGTCCTATAGGTTCCTTATAAAGTTGCCCAAAACCAAAAAGGGAGCCCTTCTTATTCCTAGGCTACTGGGCATCCTCGTAAATTGCCTTCATCGAAACCCCGAGGATTCCTTTAAGCACCCTTCAAGGAGCCTGTATTGTAGAACCGCTTTTGGGGGCTGACTCGTTTTTCTTTCTGGAAACCCCTTAGAACGCTAACGGAACCTTCAGCAAGCCCTTATGGAACCGTTTCAGAAGTCTTAACGAACTCTCCCAAAAACCGTCGAAAACCGCTGAAGAACCCTCATAGAAACCAAGTTTCATCCAGGAGCAGGCTGCGATTGTCGATGTTGGCAAAGTCCTCCAGCAGGCCAGGCGATGACTGTAAGTGAAGTGAAGAATTCAGCCGAATGTTCGAAAGCCGGGAGAGGCAATCCGTTCCAAAATAAGCCCGAGCTCAGGCGATTGTGCCTCGACGATTCTGGCGACGCCAACTGAAGGCCACCGGAGTTTTCTCGAAAGTAAGTACCCGCTGATGGGGCGGTCTTCGAAGTTCCTGGTTGCAGCTCAAGGGAATTGGGTCATAGTTGGGTACCAGTTTACATTCTACTAGGTACTGAAACCCGATAAGGAATCCTATCCCAACCATGAACTAGGGAAGAGGGAGAAGAGGGCAGAAGAAGGCAGGGATGCTTCTGCCTAAGGGTCTAATTATTCGGTTCTTGTCTTTTACTATGCTATAGTATGCCCCCAAAACCGGTTCTAAAAATTGAGGCCCCGTATTACGCTGTCTTGTTTTGAGCGCTGTCGCCAGTATCTGCGAAGGGCTGGCTCGGGCCTACAAAGCTCCGAAGCTCTCAAACAAGGAGCATGCTTGAAAACCTCGTTCGGATCCCCAAGTGCAGTTTTTTCCATCAGCAAAGTGCATCAACACCTGTGAAGTCCATGTAGCTAGGGTGCATTCCTTAATACATGGGCCCTTTGTGTTGTCTAGGTGGCAGCAGGGCTTAAACTCTCGTCCAATTCGATTGTTGTTGCTTCGGGCAAGTACTTTGATGGACCTTTCTAGTCTAGTCTGAACCTCATGAGGGACCAGCTTGGTGCATGGCGAGGCCACAAATTCTGTAGATTTTGGCTCTATGCGAGGGCGTTTACAGGCTCGCCGTCCATAGAGTCTCAAAGAAGAGACAATGTGATTAGGGACCTTCCATAAGGCATTCCAAGAAGAGACAATGTGATTAGGGACCTTCCATAAGGCATTCCAAGCCAGAGACGACTGCATAAACCTGGACCTTATGCACACGGATTAACCGTCAACCCAGGCCCAGAAAGCGCCTTTGCGATAGCACACGGAGATATGGGAGGGTCCTCAAATTCCAACTTGTATAGATCCTCTTGAAAAATGAAAAATGGACTCCTGTGCTGGAGAAGCCCTATACCCAGAGAGCCCACCGCGCCTTCGTCAAGGAACATAGCTGAAATTATAGAGGCCTGACTGTTGTTACGTAAAGTACTAATTTTGGCGTATTCCGATCTTGAGGGGAACATGAACCCATCTAAACAACCAAACATTATAAGACAAACCGAAACCTTAAGCCCTCACTAGATTCCTTACTTACGCTGGTAATGAAGGAGCGTAAATAGTTAGCAATGATTCTCTTAGTGTTCCCTGTTATCCTAATACGATAAAGGATCCCAAAACCGTATTCCAGGCATTAAGGCCCCTGTGGTACTAATATAGAGTCCCGTTTAGGGTTCCTTTCAAGGGGTCTTTCAGGGTTTCTATACGGTTCTATAATAGTTCTATATGAGTGGTTGTCAAAATTATGCTCCCTTTTTGGGGTACCCTAAATCATAGGTGCCGTACTATAATAGGGACCCAAAAAGGGGCCATAATTTTGACAACCACCCATATGGGCTCTCGGGGATATTGGAACCCCTGCCTTTTCATGGAAGGTCGGTGACCAACTCTCTCTTCGAGTGCTTGGCGCTTCAACTGAAGGTGTTAGGAATTACCTTAACACTGAAGGACTTACTTTTTTAAGGATTTATGTAAGGGAATCATAATAAGGAACCCTAAAAAGGTAGGTTATTCAGGGTTAAGGTATGGTTGAAGGGTAAGTTTCGGGCTTAGGGGTTTTAGGGTTTAGGATTGAGGAGAGTTTAGGGTTAAGGGTTTAGGGCCGAGGCTTCACCAGAACCCCCCGTGCCAGGGCCGTTGAATGGAGCCCTTGTGGTCTTGAATAGTAGGTATTTCAGGTATATTAGGGGGTGGTTGGGGGGTCTAGGGAGGGTTTGATGTTTAGGGCGTCGAAGCTCTTGCAGGATGCACACCTCTTTCTGGGTATCTTGGCGCACTCTCCTCGATTCTGGCGGTTGAACCAGAAAAGACAATTTACTTTGAACCAGACGTGGGGCTGAATTCTGCAACTCCGTCAGCCTCTGGCCGACCGCCCTCAGATGATATGGATGATATCTCAAAGAAAGGAAACGGGGGCTGTTCTTCGTCTCAAGAAGACCGACGCCCCACCAATGTTCGGTCCAAAAATCTCAACTTTCACTTGTCCTTAGACTTTCAGGACAGGAGGTTGCTGGAGTCCCCATCAGAACGCAAACGTGAATCATGGCCGCAGAGTTCCACCAAGATACTGCGACGTGGAAATAGAGAACGAAAGCTACTCGGAGTCTTGGTGCATCGATTGCATTGCCTCCTTCAAAGCCTCTCTGGAGATGCCGGTTGGCCCTGACAGAATAGTCGTCGTGTCTTGGATTGCAGGACAACTCTACGCGATGGGAGTCCAGCCAATCTTGATTGAAAAGCTTTGCTCCTTCTTCCAGGTCTGCAAGCGAATGAAGTTGCTGAATGAAGAGGGAAGGTTGAAAACCTTCATATCGGGTTTAGGGTTTTAGTTTCAGCATCTTTTCTCCAATTGCTATGTACCATTGAAGTCCTCACTTTCGTTGCCAGGGCCGAGGCGTCGGAAGACGGTTTTTCGTAAAGGGTCCCTGGAGACTTGTAAATCATAGTGCATACCTTGATGGTATGAACTTTAGGGTCTGCAGCTTTAGGGCTCTAGGTCTAAGGGGCTTAGGGCTTGAATCCTCAACAACCTTAAAACCCTCAAAACTCGGATTTCCGAAGCTTGGGGTACAGAAAACAGTAAACCCCTAATACCCCTAAACCCCTAAACCCTAAACCTGAAACCCTGAACCCTAAACCCTGCAATCCGAAACAGTCTCAAAGCTCAGATTCCTTAGAAGAGGCCGCACCCTCCTCAGGAGATACCTTGGGTTTCAGGGTCTACTTAGGGTTTTTGGGTTTGGGGTGTGGGGTGTCGGGTTTAGGGTTTAAGGGGGGGTTTAGGGAACCCTAGAGAACCTACATCTTTTGGGAGGGCTCCGTACGATAAGTGCCACATAGAAGTCCTCAAGCAGGTAGGTCATGCAGTGTCCAAGCACTAGGACCTAGAGTAGGCCCTTATTCCCTTTTTGTAGGGTTCAGGTTCCCTTATAAGCCCCTTTAAACCAAAAAGGGCACCCTTTTTATTCCTAGGTTACTCTTGGGTTTAGAGCAATGTTTGGAGCCCTAAACCAAGAGCCTGAAGCCCATAACCCTGAACTACCTCTGGCTCTGCTTAACCCTGTTCGGAACAGTTGATGATATAAATCCTGCATTACCTTATAAGGACCCTAAACTATGGGAATTATGGTATATTCCTTATTATGGGTAATGCAGGATTTGTATCATCAACAGAAGTACAGCATGATCTCTGTTTGGTAGAGTCTGGAGCCTTTGATGTCAAAGGTTGCTGAAGGAGTTTGAACAACTAGCCAAGTTCTTCTTCATGGTTAGTCTTACATTTCGGTATACCCCTTAAGCACTTTACCCTGCGCTATAACCCCCGAACCCTATTCCTAGGATCCCCAGTAGTACCCTTATTCCTTTTTTGTAGTCCTAGGTTCCTTATAAAGGTACCCAATACCAAAAAGAGAGGCCTTTTTATTCTTAGGTTACTGGGTGTCCTAGATTCCGAATGAGTCAAGCGCCGTTTGAGATTGCTTGTGCTCTTCTGGGTTCTGGAGTACCAGTTTAGAGTTTAGGGTTTAGGGTTTAGGGTTTGGGGTTTAGGGTTTAGGATTTAGGGTTTAGGGTTTAGGATTTAGGGTTTAGGGTTTAGGGTGACCTGCATGTTCCTTGAAGGAGCACTTCTGAAGGACACGTTTACCTTGCTTCTTCTACCTTGTTACTTCACAGGTCGAGTCTTCGGGGTCTCCGATATCCCAGCTCTTTAGCATCTGTTGAGATCCTTCTGGTATTCGTAGGGTTTAGGCTTTAGGGCTTGAGGGTTCAATGCGGTTGTCAATTTTGAGAACTTTATTGATTGAGGTTTGGGTCTAGTTTAGTATTTATTGTTTTCTTGAGCTCTTGAAAGTATGCTCCTTTGACATGCATCCGTCCGCGGCTCAAGGACTCCATGGTCGAGACGTGACCCTCCGCGAAGTGCACCCGGAGGCTCCGTTGAGGGAGTTGACTCGCCTGAACCCGAACCTTAGTGTCTAAACCCTAAACTAAACCCTAACCTAACCTTAAACTGTACAACCCTGAATGTAAATTGCATGTATACTTGCATTGCCAGGAAAGCTCCAGGCTTGGTTGTGATGCTGAGAGAGTTATCCTAAGCCCTGCATCGCAGACCCGAAATTCCAAACCCAAGTTCATAAAGCGAAACCCAAGGCCATTGCAGAACCCAACAAGGTTCTCCCCAGGATTCCAGACTCGTTCGAGGAAGTTCCTACCACTCTCTTGCCATGCTGTCACCTTGAATCCCAAGCCCTAAGCCTAAACCCTAAACCCTGAACCCTCAACCAAACAAGAAAGCCTTGCCAGGACCGGGCCGTGGGGTTTAGGATGCAGTCTTTAGGGGTTAGGGTCTGGAGTTTAGGGTTCAGGGGTTTGGGGTTTAGGGTTAGTCCATGGGAGCAGTATAAAACCTCACCGCTCTACTTACGAAGTCGCTGAGACCTAAAAACCCTTAACCAAACTGATCTGCTCCAGGTATTTCCGGTAGTTCTGTTGATTAAACTAAGGTTGTTGATTGAGGTGGTTTAGTTAGCAGATGCGATTTCCATTTTTAACCATGCCCACCGCCCCAGGCCACCTGAAGACCAACCATAACCACCTGTACCCCACCCATGGAACCATCGAATGACCCACAGGAAGACCCTTACTAAGACCCACCTGAAGACACTATCATGGAACCACCCATACCCCCATAGAAAATAGCATGCTCAAACTCATAGACCAACACTCCCATAGAAAACCCACAACACCCAACCCGAAATCCCTCAATGTAGTGGTATTCTCGAAAAAGCACTTCCATAATAGGAATAAGCTGTAGGGATAAGGTAACATCACAGTCTAGTTATAATCTATAACAACTCAAGGGTTGTAACTACATTATACTTATGACTTGTCAAATACCAACAGGGATCTCAATAACTATGCTGTCCTCATGCTCGCCCAAAAGTGTAAAACAGTCATTCTGGAAACTCATCATTCATCAGCTAGGTGGCAACTTGGGAAACTTTTTAATTTCCCGTATGGTTCCTATAGAGGTACCTATTCATAAATACTTGTCAGAGCCCCAAAATTACAACCCAGTCAGTAACTGTTGAATGTGAATTCATCCTGAGCCCGCAATCTGCCAGGAGGATGATCCTTTGCACTGTCAGGCGCCACAGGGTCCGGCTTGGCTTCCCGGATAATGGTGGAGTTTCCGACATTAGGGTACCCTAACATATATATATATAGTACCCTAAATAGTAGGATCCTTATTATAAGGACCCCAAAAGAAGGAATGATGTAGGGGTTTGGGGTTCAGGGTACCCTAACATAGTACCCTAAATAGTAGGATCCTTATTATAAGGACCCCACAAGAAGGAATGATGTGAGGCTTTGGGGTTCAGGGTGTAGGTTTGAGGGGCTTCAGACTGCAAAGGGCTCAAAGATGCTTAGTGCTTCGGTTTTGTAGGAATTGAAGGTTGAAGGGTTGTCTTCGTGGGCTTACCACGACTCAAGTACCGCTTGAGGGGTATGCCATTCCCGCTTGGGAGAAGTACCTTGGGGCCGACAACAAAGGGCAGTGGTGGGGATCTATGTCGAGGTGGGGTTCAGGCTTGAAAAGTTGGGTTGAGGGTTTGGAAAGCTTACGCCCGCGCAAACCCTAAAGCCTGAACCCTATGACCGTAGTTTATGCAAGTACCTTATATCCATATACTTTCCCAAATAGCAACACATAACTACTGCGTGAAACCTATAAGTACCTAAATATTGGGTCTTTTGGACCCTTAGGGTAACTCCAAGGAGGCTTCAGCGTAACAGTACTGCGATTAGGATGCTCACAGCATGAAAGTACCCAAGCCGTCAATCCTACCCTGAGGGTCCTAGCACGTTGGGGAACCCCATAATGTAGGGTTTCTGAAGCCCCAAAGAAACCAAGGGTTCTTCCTAAGACATTCCGGACCGCCCTGATCTGATATCTGGACCCACAGCCGAGACCCTGAGCCCGAAACCCCTAAACCCTCAAACCTAAACCCCGAACCCGAAACATTGTTGGGTGTTGGATGTCGGGTCGTCTCGGTGATTGGAATATTATCCCTACAAAAATACTTTGCGAAGACTACATGCATCCCTGTGCCTATGTAGTATTGTCCGGTATGTCTCCATAAGCGTATGAGCCATAAGGAACCCCTCCTAATTTATACAAACCCTAAACTCGATACTCCCTGAATGGAAATCCCTCCAGAATGCCCAAGACCCCTTTATTAAGGAATACAGCTTGAATCATAACATGAACCCCCTTATTCTTTAAGGTATATTCCTCCAGGATCTGCTGGGCCTCGGCGAGATCTGGACGGTTAGTCGTCGCAGCAAAGACGACGCAGTGCCAGCGCCCGGGTGGCCCCCGTGGGAGGCACTTGCGGGCTGCTGGCAGACCCTCGGGTTGAGAGCCTAGGGATTTTACCGTAGAAGGGGGTCCTTATAATAAGGATCCTACTATTTAAGGGTATTAATATAGGGTCCCCCATTTTTGGAAACTCCCATCTAAGGACTAGGTGGCAATTTGGGAAACTTTTTTAATTTCCCTCATGGTTCCTATAGAGGTACCTATTCATAAATATTTTTCAGAGCTCCAAAACTACAACCCAGCCAGGGATTTTACAGTAGAAGCCAGACAGTTGGAACATCATTATCCTCAGGTCCTTCAGGTAAAGCATAAGGGATCCGAGCACGATTCATCCTAAATCCATGTTCCAATTTTCTGGGATTCACTGTAGTGTACGTTGAACCTTCGGGCTTGGCATCTTCGAGCTTGCTTTTGCTTAGCTTTTGTCAATGCCACCTGAGACGATTTGCGGGTTATGCTTGTTTCAGGCTGCGTTTTCCAAGTTTGCCCGGGATTTTCTCCTCTCCACCGCCGCTAAGGTCTAGCGTTGTTCGTGTTGGATGTGGTGCGGCAGGTGACGTTCTTAAGTCTGTACGCTTCCCCCACTTGGAGGGTCGGGGGACTTTCAAAGCAGCTATCTTGTGGAGTTCTAAGTACCGTAACCCAATTCGGATCCTTTTTAGGGTACTTATAGCTCTGCTTATTGCCTACTTACTAAGTTCCCCGACCCTCCAAGTACAGGAGAGAGGCAGCACCTCCAAGAAGGTCGGTTCCTGTCTACATACTTCTACAGTGTCTACAGTTTACATAGGCACGTGTATGTACATAGACATACACAGACATACATGGAAACATCCATACATACATGCATACATACATATATGCATATACAGACATAGTTGTAGGTGGAAGGGTTTGCTTGCACTTATAGTTCTTGGGGACCACAGAATCCGTAAAGGTAAGAGCCATATAAACCCAAGTGCCATGAACTCCCACATTAATCTGAACTATAAACACTCATACGTTCAAAGTTCGTCCTCAAGGGTTTTTCAACAAACCTAAACTCTGCAGTAAAATTTCTTATAGAACCTTTAGAGGTGCCCTTAAAGGGATCCTAAATGGAGCCCTTTTGGGGCTACATTTCGTTCTAAGGCCTTGAGTTCCGTCTCTGCAGTTGTGTCCCTTTTGGTATCCATGAGTGCCCAACCATGGCTGAGCGCTGGTGCTGGGTTTAGTGTTTAGGATTTGGTGTGTTTTTTCTGGCTAAGACAAAGAGCCGGTGCTGGCCGGCACACGTCATCCTGCACACAGCGTTCCCAGAATCCTCAGCGCGGGGCCTGGATCCTCTGCCAACGATGCGGTGGGTGTGGGCTAAGCCTCACCCATCTCAGGTCCACTCGTTCCTGTCCGGTTTTGCAGACTGGCCTGGTTACAGTCCTTTTTTGCCGGCATGCGGCTGCGGTTTAGGGTTTAGGGTTTAAAGTTTAGGGTCTATAGGGTTTAGGGTTCAGGGCAACCACCATATCCAGAACACCCAGACCAAAGACGACTGCTGGCCTCCTGGCCGGTGCCTCCTGACTCAGAGATCTCAATACCCCTTATAATAAGGATTATACCTTAAATTACACGGGGGCTCCTAATATTATGGTTTAAGGTATATTCCGTAATTAAGGGGTATTGGGATCTCTGGGGATGTGCTTTGCACATCTTCCCGGCTAGCGTTTCGTACTGCGCACCATGTTTGTCATAGACGATCGACGCGGACGTTTTCCTTGGGAGCTTTTGCAGCAGACGGGCCCAGCGCCATGCGCGAAAGGGTTGGGGCTTGCACATCCTGATCCTGAAAGCTCCGCACATGTTGGGATCCTGATCTTTTGAGGGTACGTTACTAAGTTTGGGGCTTTCAGGTAAACCTTGCATATTGAACCCGGAATCCTATGCTAGTTTCTACAACGAGCTCGTCCAAACTTTACGCGTTAAACTGTTTAACCTCCAATCCCAACATCCTCTGTTCCATAGGCAGATTCCCTTAGCCTGAACCCTAAACCGTTTTCGGTCTGTGCTGGCATCCAAAGGCAGAGGCCCAACGAGCACCGCCGACACCTTGGTACCAGGCACCCCTTGGGGTTCGGGGTTTAGGGGTTAAGGGTTCCTTGAAGAGTTCTATTTGGAGTTAAGGGTTCAAGGGTTGCCGGTCTAAGTGTGAGGGTTAAGCGTATAGGGATCTAGGTCTTAGGGGGCCGGGGTGAAGGGTTTCTGAGAGTTTTTAGGGTTTACCGTCCCAGGTTTCTTGTTCGTGGGTTTAGGGCATAGGGTCAGGGTCTGCCTGGATTCCACGACCACATGCTCGTGTGGAACCCAAGGTATCCACTCAGAATGATTTTTGACAACTCTCCTCGAGAGAGTTAGCTGGCTGCTATTAGTCCGTGCATGGAGTTCTTGGTCACGGCAGATAGATAGAATGTCGTAACCCCCAATTCCTTTCGCAAAGGGTCCTACATAGGTACCTATATATAGGGGAGACTTACCCAAGCCATAACAGTAATTGTTGCTAAACCATAAACTATATAGAAACCTTCTACCACGTAGGTACTTCGGGCCGTTTGGGTGGGTCGGGCTTGCGGGCGGGCTTTGAACATTTAAAAGTTGACGGCGAAGGTCGGCTGGGTTCTGGCGTAGTTACCATATTACTTTCATGAATGGTTTTGTTGGATCTGTTCGTTACGAGAGCCATTATGACATGCAAGTTTATCCTTTCTTCTCCTGGTTACTTCAATTTCCAGTTGGCCAGGTGCGCTCAATTTGGGCAGTGCTGCTGCGGTTGTTGCTGCTACTACTTCTGTTTCTTTGTCCGCTTCTTCTGCCACTACTACCGCTACTGCTGCTGCTACCGAAACCCTAAAACAAAAAGCCCGAAACCCTAAACCCTTAACCTCTATTGCTGCTGACTGCTACAATTGCTGCTGCGACATACTGTTTTAAAGGTTTCTGTTGGGGCGTGTTGGGCTGTTTAATTAAGGATCCCAGAGACTCCAAGATCCCTACATTACGGAATATGCCGTAAATTATTGTAGGGATCCTAGTTATATATTCATTAATTACAAGGGATATTGGAGTCACTGGATTTTGGCTGGTTTAGGTTCGCGTTAATTTCTCAGAGCACTCTCTCGATGTTTGCGTGGGCCCTACATCGACGTGTAAATCCTGGACCCTTACCCTAAGGCTCAAAACGGCCCAAAAGCCTTGTATAGTATGGTCTTTGCGCCCAAAAGCCTCAATACATGAGCCCTTTGAGCCTCTTAGGGTTATACCTAGGAGCAACAAAAACACAGTGTCAGGCACCGCTGGTCCTGGAATCGAGGACAGGGAAGGTCCTCATTCATGAGGCGGTGGGGCTCAGGGGATCCAGGTGCCTGAGTAGCCCTAAGGCTTCACTTACGGTTTTGGGTTTAGGGCTTTTGGTCTCATGGTTTAGGGTTTAGGGTGTAGCCGCGTGCTAAGTGCCAAGTTTTGGCACCTGAAACCCTACCATTTGGGCTTGAACCCTGAAGCGTTTGTCAGGTTCCCCCATAGCAAGAGCGAGGTGGAAGTAAGTCTACCCTGTGAGCCCCAATCCCAACATATGGGTAGTTGTCAAAATTAGGGTCCCTTTTTGGGTACCTAAAAGATAAGGTGCCGCATTATATTCAGGACCGTAATTTTGACAACCACCCATAGTTGTTCTTCAGTTCAGGGTTACACATTGGGTGTATATATTCAAAATGCAAGCAGAAGGTTTCCTAGGCACCCAGAGTTGTTCCTTTTTGGGTTTGCCTTATAGGATTCTAAATATGAACCCCCCAAAAGGAAGTATTATGGGGCGTATAGGTAGACACGACACGAAGACTTAAAACCCCCCGTTCCCGCTCAACCGTAGCTTCAGGAATTAGGGTCGAGATCTTGTAGCCGCGCGTAGCTTCGTACCCTGCGTCTGTTTCGCTCGAAAAGCTCAACCCGTAAACCCTCTTGGTGGAGTTTGGAAATTTGAGGGCTTGCGGCGGATCAACACCGCAGGTAGCATGATTATGGGTTGTTCCAGGGCTCCAAAGGCATTCCTCTGAAGGATCACATAAAGGAACATCTGTGGATTCCTGGATGGGGTCAAGAATTCCGGTGGCAAGCCGGCTTGCTCTCCCGAGAGTGTCGTGGGTCTGATCTTCGTTGGGATGGCTTTGTCTGCTACGCTGCAAGAAAATGCCGTGGACCGACTTCGAGCCCTCATCATCCAACAGAAGCGGCGCAGAAAGGCCAAGTTGCCAGGGGGGAGTGCTGTTGGGCGAATTTTCTCAATATTATCAGAGGTGGCCTGCTGGGGGACTAAGCGAGCCGTGGCAGAAAATAGATGGGTCATCGCAGAAACTGCAGCACACTCGACATAGAGAGGGGAATGAGTCCCAACTCTGGAAGCAGCGCTAAACCCTAAACCCTAACTACTCCGCGATGTCAGACAGCTTTCATGAACCATGGAGTCCTTTCGGGCTCTTTCTTGGTTAAAAAGAGGTCCCCTTGAGCTTGGTCCCGAATCTTCTTGGGAGAACCCCCGAGGACTGGGGTTTAGGGTTTAGGGACGTGTAGGTCATTTAGGATTGGTATCTCAGAAATACAGTGGTTTGAGACAAGCAGTTCCAATACTGCAACATACCCTAAAGAGCTACTCCACTTATCAAGGCCCCTATACAGCAGGATGAATGTGAGGCTTGACCCCGAAGCTTGCTCGCCATTTCTCGCACCTTGTAAACCGTACCTCTACACCCTAGACCCTGCAGTAAACCCTAAATGCTGAACCTTGAAGCCTAGACCCTGAACCCTAAACCCTAACCCTCGTCCGCCCATCGTGATCGCAGTCGGAGCAGGGATCCTCACTGAGTTTGCTTTCTGAGAGCGAGTAGTGTTCTTGTTTTGCGGCTTAGTGCAAGCCCCGTTGGTGAGGCAGGCAATTACTCTGCTTGCAGCTGCGAAGTGGAGAAAGAGCCATTGCACTTAAAAAAAAACCCTAGCCGAAACCCTAACCCTAAACCCCAAACCCGTTCTCCTGTAATACCCGAAGTCCCAGAGCCCTACACCGGAACGCTGAACCTGTACTCCCAAAGCCTATCGAGACGGTCCCAACTCCTGCATAGCTTGTATTTGAGAACAGTAACGATTCGGTTTAGGGTTTAGGGTTTAGTTTTCGGGTTTATAGGGTTTAGGGTTTAGGTTTAGCGGTTAGGGACCCTATTTTGAGGGTGCCTTGGAGGTCCCTTGGACTTTACCCCTCGCCCTGAGCCCCGCACCATAGCTAAGCCTTAGCTGTTAAGCCCTAAACCTTCCTAAACACCACAATTTACAATACACGAAACCGTCGAATCCTAAACCTCTGAACCTCGTAGCCATCCACTAGATCCGAACACCGGTTCTCCAGAGGCGCTCAAGCCCGGCACACGCATGCAGGTGGTGGACATCGCCGCTTCTATGCAACATGGGGAATTCGCGCCTTTCGGGTTTGAGGTAGGGTTTCTCATTTTTTGAGCCCCAATATCCTGGACCCTTAACCCAAACCCGAAACCCTAAACGGCCCTAAAGCCCCTAAAGCGCCTAGATCATGGTCTTAGGGTTTGGGTGCTGTGCATCCGTTCATGACTATTCGATAATGTGCCTAACCCCAAGTCTACTTGTTAAAACCACTAATATAGAGCCCCCAAGAGCGCAAAGCATAAGCTTTTAACATGTTGGGCTTCATTTCACAAGGGAGTCTATATGGGATATCCCTATCCAAATGTTTGCTTATGCTTGCTTTTGGTCTCTATCTAAACTATATGAGAAGCGATTAGGTTCCCTACTGCTGTCCACCATGTCCGGGAAAGATGTCTAACCTCAGTTCTTTAGGGCTCCTGTCTTATTTCTATGCTACAAAGGAGCGCCAAAGCCCTATTCTAATCGTTAAGGCCCCTAACTTACCCTAGGGCTTGAAGGACTCATACATGCTCTTGGGCCCAAGGACCATACTCTCTAAGGCTGTTGGGTCATTCGGAGCCTCAGACCGACGCCCTAAAGCCTTAACCCTAAACCCCTAAACCCGCCTAAGCCTGCATTAGGCCCTAAACGCGAAACTTTAAACCCTAAACCCCTAAACCCAGAGCCTACATTAAGTTGCCCAAAACGTTAAACCCTAAATCCCTAAACCCAAAGCCTACATGAAGCCCTGAACTTTCAGCCCTAAACCCCTAAACCCTAAGCCTACATTCTTCAAGCACTAAACCCCTGAACCCTAAACCCGTAAACCCTAGGCCTACATTCCTCAAGCCCTAAACCCCTAAACCCTTACACACCCTAAGGCTACATTCTTCTAGCCCTAAACCCCTAACCCCTAAACCCTTAATACATTTTGCCCTGAACCCCTAGACCCTAAACCCTAAACCCTGAAGGCCCAAACCTACATTTTGCCCTGAACCCAGGCTTCGTGGCAGGAGGAGCTTCGCGCCGTGGTGGCGGAGCTTGGAAGATCCGGGCCGACTGAGCTCCGGCGAGACTCAAAGAGGGCTTAGGGTTTAGGGTTTAGGGTAGGGCCCCTTTAAAGGGCTCCTTTGAGGGTTCCCAGGGTTCCTTTAGAAGGTCCCTTTAAGGGGGTTCCAAGGGTTTCTGAAAAGAGGTCCTTTGAGGGTTTTTTAAGGGGCTCCTTTGTTTGAGGGTTCCTTTAAAGGCTCCTTTGAGGGCTTTCTTAAAGGATTCCTAGGGCTGCTGAAAAGAGCTCCTTTGAGGATTGCCTTTAACCTTGAGGGTCCAGGTATTTTTTTTAGGAGCGTCCGGAATCTCCTAGGGAGAGTCCTTGGGTCTCTTTGGGGTCTCAAAAACCCTCAAGTTTGAGGTTCCGCAATTTGTTAGGACCCTTAGGGAAGACCAGGGCGTACCATACTGTCAGGGAAGGGGCTCCTTTCTCTTTAAGGATTCCTGGGTTCCTGAAACGGGCTCCTTTGAGGGTTCCCGTGAAGGATTCCCAACCTTCCGTTAGAGGTTTCTTGAAGGGGCGCCCCCTTGAGGGTTCCTTTAGAGGTTCCTTTGAGGGTTCCTTAAAACATTAAGGGTTCCCAGCGTTCCTTTAAAGGTTCCTGTACGGGTGTCTTTAAAAGGGTCCCTAGGGCTCCTTCGAGGGTTCCTTTAAGCGTGTACGGTTCAGGGCCTTGGGGTGCAATTAGGGTTTAGGGCTAAGTTAGGGTGTAGGGTTTAGGGTTTTCGGCACAGTTTGAACAGAACCTTTTGATAGAACTCGACACGTAGTACCATAAAAGGGAACCCCATTATAGAACCCTATAAAGTACGCCAGGCCTCCTTTCAAGGATTCATAAGGGTTGTGCTTTAAGGATTTTCAGGCTACGGGCCATTCGAGGTTCACATCTTCAGGATTTAGGGGTCTACTTGGAGGGGCAGGGGACTTAGTAAGTAGGTTATAAGTAGGGCTATAATTAGGGTAACTCGATTTAGGGTACTTAGAACTCGGCTACTTATATCCTACTTACTAAGTCCCCTGCACCTCCAAGTAGGTGGGGTTTGTTCAGGTTTTCGGGGCCAGGGTTCGGGAACGCTTTGGCGGAGTTTTGCAAAAAGGCTTTCTCAGGGCTGCGGCTGGCTACTACTTATTCAAGGCCCCTGTTTTCCAAGCCTGTGAATCCTGCAAACTTAGAGACTCCAAAACCTCGCACTTAAGGAATAGTTGCGGTAGGGCTGGGGCCCTTCATAAGTTTAAGTCTGAGTCATTATCCAAGTTATGCCCTAAAACCCAACCGAAAGTCTAAAATCTCAAATCCAATTGAACCCTTCAGGAGCCTTTACCCCCAAACCCTAAACCCTCCCAGCTCAAGGATCGCGTGTTCCCGGGGGCGGTGCTGGTTGGCCGAGTGTCGCTGGGGCCTCGGTTGGGCATAAGCCTGCAAGCCATACTCGGTAGACCCCAGAAAGTTGGAACATAGATGTAGGATGATTCATGCTGGGATTCCCTATACTTTACTTTAAAGGAATGAGGATGCTCATGGTCCAACTTTCTCTCTTCTGCTGTAATTGCCAGCGTTTATAGGATTTAGGGTTGCTGGGATGTCTTAAGGTAAACAATAAGGAATTCCGGCACACCTGTAAACAGATTCTGCAAAGCCCAATAAAGAGGCCCATACCACGTTTCTCATGCGCTGTGCCCCCATACTATACCTACCAAGGCAGCCTTAAAGCAACCTTTTGTGGAACTCCCTAAACCCAATGCCTATACCCCTAAACGCTAAACCAACTCTATAGTAGCCTTAACGGGAGCCCTGTTATCGAAACCACACAGGCGCCCCAAAAAAGGACCCCTTTACAAACCCCATAAAGCCCCGATGCCCCGGTGCCCCCTCCCTAAACCCTAAACTACCCTAAGGAAAAAACTACCCTAAGGGGTCCCCTAAACCCTAAACTAAACCCTTAATCCTGAACCCTATAAAGCCCCGCTCTGCCCCCCTTGCTGAGATCCGTCAACACGGCCCACGGAGTCCTCGTGGATTTGGCAGAAGCTCGGATGGTACGACTCGCTTCGGTTTAGGGTTCTTGGTTAAGGGCTTTCAGGGTTTACCTTAACCCCAGATATCCTACCTTCTTAAGGACTTACATACCGAAATCATATCAGAGAACCCTATAACAGGTAGGGTATTTGTGATCTTAGGAATTTGGGGTTTCGGTTGCGTGTCGTGTATTTTTTTTTTGGGGGGGGGTGAAGGGGAGTCGGGTTCTGAGTCCCAAAATGAAAACTATTTACGCCTCTACATGTAACCATAAACCCTTAAGCCTCACATGAAACCCTAAACCGTGCTGTGGAACCCCCAAACCCCGTGTATCCCCTTGATGATCTCTTGAAGTCAGTCTTGGAATCACGGTTTAGGCTTTGGGGTTTTGCGGGATCGAGGGTTTTGGGGTTAGGGTTCAGCATTTTAGGGTTTTGGGGTTTAGGGTTCAGCCTTTTTATTGTTTGGGGTTTGGGGTTTAGATTTTAGGGTTTTGGGGTTTAGGGTTTCAGGTTTAATTTAGGGTTTTAGGGTCTGGGGCTCAGGAGTCCTCAGTTGCAGCCCTCGATCTCACCCCTCAGGGCCCGAAGGACCTAGATGAGGCGGCCGGGAGCGGTGGGTTCCTGTAACCCAGAGGGTCCGCATATACCACCATTATGGAATTGGGTCTCCAGAGTAGGGTTTAGGGTTTAGGGTTTAAGGTTTAGGGTTTAGGGTTTAGGGTAGAGAACCTAGGACCCAGAGTAGGGCCTTATTCCCTTTCTTGAGGCTTAGGTTCCCTTATAAACCCCCTTTTAAACCAAAAAGGGCAGCCTTTTTATTCCTAGGTTACTCTTAGGTCTAGGCATATACTACCATTATGGAATTGGGTCTCGAAAGGTAGAGATGGTCTATTGGGACCTAATTCCATAATGGTAGTAACTGGTTGTATATGTGGACCCTTAGGGTAACTAACTGGATTCTGGGGTACCATGCGTGAGTACACTCTTTCCTTACAGGCGCCATTCTGAAATGAGAGTTCACATCTTCCTTCATTGTTACTTCAAAGTCCAGAATACGGTCAAGATGTGTAGTCGTCGGTTATTATTGGGGAGAGTGTTTGATCATTAGGCACAGGGATCTTTAGAGCACCCAGACCTTCCAACATCCCAAATTAAGGAATAAACCTCAAATCATATTTGGGACCCTACCATAATGTAAGGAATATCCTTCAAATGAGGGATATTGGGATTTCTGGGGAGCCTTCACATCACAACTTAGCCGCCGAGGAAGACTGCGATTGCTGGATTCCGATGCTCGCCCTGAGTTCATAGGGCTCCAAGTGGTGAATTTTGCCTGGTGTTCAATAAACCCAAAGGGTCCTATGTACTGTTTTGGGGAATACCTCCCCCAATCATAATAGTAATTCCTAATATAGAAACCCTACATTCTACTATATCGGTACTTTGGACACTTCGGGAAACCCTGTTTTAATTCTGAAGGCTCGGCTTGGGGGTTCGGATCGTTAGGATGATTGCCCAAGGGCAAATCTCAGGGGATCCCGTCTCTTCGTCAGCAATACAGGGGTCGGCATAGTTGTGGTTATACGGGGTGGGGCAAAATCTTTAATTTTCCTAGGTATGGTATAGCATCATAACTCCCATAGTTTAGGTGTATAGGGCTCTGCAGGATTTTGTCTATCAGCAGCATGTGTGGCAATCTTAGAGTAAGTAACGTTTGACCTTTTTTGGGATTTATATAGTCCCACCATTTCTGAAAAGTTAAACCTTTTTGAGGCTAGGGTATTCAGCCCCTCAGGTATATGGCGGCATACTATGCCCCCAAACCCTCCCCGAATTGTCAGGATAGCACCAGCTACTGTACTGAAAGACCTACTTACAGGATCCTCTAATGCTTGGGGCTCCGGAACCGTAAACCTAACCCCCACAATCCGCACCTTCAATCCTCAACGACACCTGCAGGCGAGGCCTCATGACCCCAAATCCCTCCAAAAGCTGCCGCAACCTCAACCCTAAACCCCTAACCCCTATACCCCAAATCCCTAAACTGCAAGGAAGTCATCCTTGCTGCTGCCTTTGGAAAGCTACAAAGTGGGTCAGGCGACAGACCGCTTCCCTGGGGCTTCTGAAAGACTCAAAGGGGAAAAGGAGGGACCCTTAATGGGGATCCCTACTCTATAATGGGCGAAATAGTGATTTAGGGTTTAGGGTTTAGGGTATAGGGCTTAGGGTATATATAATGGCTATATTAAGGGTATATACCTAGGGGTCCGTATTAAGGGTCCGTCCTTTTACCCTTGGAAAGACAGCAGGCTTTCGGGATTCTGCTTTAAGGCTACTGTGAGGGTCTCCGTGGGTCTGTCGGTTTCGGGTTTAGGGTTCGGCCAGGGTCTATCGGTTTCGGGTTTAGGGTTAGGGTCTATCGGTTTAGGGTTAGGGTCTATCGGTTTAGGGTTAGGGTCTATCGGTTTAGGGTTAGGGTCTATCGGTTTAGGGTTTAGGGTTAGGGTCTATCGGTTTAGGGTTAGGGTCTACCGGCTTAGAGTTCAAGGCCGCTGTGAGGGTTTCCATTGGTCTATCAGGCTTCTGCAGTTCTAAGATTCCGGAATAGTACCCTTTTGCCCTTTCTATTTTGGGATCTCCTGACAAACAGCATAGTAGGAAACAGGCTATCCATAATTTTAAAGGGCTACTCAGGAACCTAGAATTGCACGGCAGTTTGGGGCTTTGGCGTGGGGGTTTAGGCTCTGGCTTCATGGTACGGCTTGGTGTTCTGCTTTTTCAGCAGTGTATTGAACTAATTTATGCTTTCGAATGTTGGCATGCAGTGTTTTAGTTTTCAGTTTAAGCCACATTGAGTGTGCCTGTTTGATGCGGGGCCGCGGTGCACACAGCACTTTGCGTTGTCTTTGTCTTGTTATGTTTCGCTCGCCACTGTTTTAACAGTTTCTAGACTTGATATAAGCTTCATTCAGACCTCTGCAAAACAACGTGGCTCTGCTTGCTTGCCAAGAGTAACAAACTGCCAGGTGGTGAGTGTGTTTGTTTCGTTTCCGAAAGGGGGAAGCCTGGTTGCCCGATGTAGCCACTGTTTACTCGGCGGGGTGTGATTGGGGACCGTTCACACAAGCCCAGTCGACCTCGATGATGGACGTGCTTAAGGACGAAACGAACCCGAAAAGGGTTTCAGGTTCAGATAACATATAAGGATTCATAGCATAGGGATATAGGGCCCTTACTTTTAAGGTTCATTCGGTCCTAAAGGAACAAGCAAGTAGCCAACACGCCGCAATGCATCGCATGAGCTGTACCGACGGAGCGGGCTCCCAGATCGCAACTGACACCCCTAGGATAAGCAGGACGCCAGTGTTTGTCATTTCGTTGCTCGGTAGTTCTGTAAATTAGTAGGGTCCCTTTTAGGTCCCCACAATGAGGATTACCCACATGGCTTACGCTCCATCTGAGGACGTCAGGCATTTTCTGCATCAATCATCACGGATTGGTTCTCCATTGGGGGCTTTCGTTTAGGGATTTGGGTATAGGGAATTAGGGTTTAGGGTTCTGAGGTTTTGGGGTTGGGGTTGAGGTACAGGGTTTTGGGAAAAGGGGTTCAGGAATTGACACCTCGATTCGGGACCTACCGGTCGAGATACCCAGAAATCCGGTATTTGAGAGTGTGCTCAGCATTTGGTTTTTGTCAGTCTTGCCACCATTCTGCGGTAAGGCTTTAACCCCGAACCCCCAAACCCTTAATTATTCACCCCGGAAGGGAGCGTGCAGCACGTCGAAAGGGCTAACAGTTGAGGATTTTGTGGGCTCTGGCAAGGGCATGTTGGATTCAGGTTCAGATACCTTGTACGGCTTCATAGCATAAGGACTATAGGGCCGTTACTTTTAAGGGTCATTTGGTGCGGGCTATGTCAGGGGCATTTTGGAGTTTAGAGCTCGGGTTTTCCGGCCTCGGTAGCCGTGGGGGGTCCAAGTACTTGATTATCATGTACTCTCCAAACTTTGTAAAAACCGTAGCCACTATCCTAAATCCTAAACCCTAGATTATCATATATAATTACTCTCCAAAATTGTAGCCTACATAGCCACGATCCTAAACCCGAGTACCTAATTTTTGGGCCCTTTGGACCCTTTGGGGTGTAGTATAAAGAGGCTATTCAGGAACCTATAAAGCCAGAGATGCAGCTTGAATTAGGCGGCTTCTATCATGAAAGGGCGACCTCAGGGCCCATGTATGCTTTGGACCCTTAGGGTAGTATAGATGAAGTTCCTGGCAGTCACGGAGTGTGTCAGGCGCTCCCAGTGCGCATCAAGCGGCTCGGCTTAAGGCTTCGGAGTTTCGGGTTTAACCCTGGGCCCTATACACACAACCCTCGGAACCCTCATATCTGCGGGCTTGCGGGGTGTAAGCCCTAAACCCTTTATAGCCCCTATATAATCCCTATATAACCAAAATTTGCAGGTTAACCTTTAGTTCCCCATGATGCCCCACAAGTAAATTTTTCCTCTACCGTAAAACCTCGAGCGCTAGAAATCCGAAACCCGGATCAGACATGTCGGCGCTCGGAACCCTTCCGCCGATGTAGCCAAGTCCTCAAAGCGGAAAGCACCATCCTCAAACTTCCAAATGCCAGCCTTAGTAGCTGAGTAGGTAACCGTTAACCTTTCGGGACTTTACCCTAAGGCTCCATGTACCCATATAGTAGGTACATAGGCCTTAAAGTGCCGATACAGGGACCCCTTCAAGGCCTAAGTACTTACTAGATGGGTACATGGAGCCTTTGGGTTAGATGGTCCTTGTGAACAGCAGTTTCGGCGAGGTGGTTGGGTTAGGTGCTCCTTTTGGGTTTGGGGTGTTCTATACCGTATTTACTGAGCCTCTTCTAGAGCATGCAGATCCACATTGACCACCTGGTGTGCCCTAGGGTTAGGAATTAAGGTTTAGGGGTTCATACAAGGGCTAATTTGGCCTGAATCAGGAGAAAGCTTTCTAGCGGTGTCATCCTTGAAATCAAGGGAGCCTACTATGGCCCTAGTAAGGGCGTGGAGTTGAAGCTTCATGGATTAGCCTTCGGATTTTGAAGCCGTAAACCCTAAACTCTAAACCCTATAAACTCCCTAAACTCCAAACAAAGCCTAAAGCTGCGGTGGATTCTGGACACTAGTGCTCTAGCAGACGGAAAAACAAGGCATTACACAAAAACACTTTACGGCTTGGGCGCTTCGGGATCTGGTTTGTCAGCACATCCCAGGCACGTGAGCATTTCCAAGGGGCAAGGGCCTTAGAAAGTGTGTGCGATCCCGCTGCGTGGTATGGTGCGCTGAAGACTGTCTATGTGTATATGTGTGTGTGTGTGTGTGTGTGTGTGTGTGTGTGTGTGTGCGTGTGTGTGTGTGTGTGTGTGTGTGTGTCTGTCTCTGTGTGTGTGTGTCTGTCTGTGTGTGTGTGTGTGTGTCTGAGTGTCTGTGTGTGTGTGTGTGTGTGTGTGTGTGTGTCTGTGTGCCTGTGTTTGGGAGAGTGTGTGTGTGTGTGCCTGTGTTTGGGAGTGTGTGTGTGTGTGTGTGTATGCGTTTATTTCACTTGTTCGATGTTTTTTGCCGCTAGGGTCTTCCTGCTTGCGTATTTTTGTGAAGACTCTATATATGGGTTTGGTTCTGTTAATTTGATAACTTTCTGGTTTGTGTGGTAATATGGGGTTTGTCGTGTTTTTATGCACCTCCAAGAGCTACAAAATTAGTCGGGCATCTCCCTTAACACAGTCCCAGAGGGTGGAATTAGGTCCCCACAGCCATGGTAGGGATGGCCTCTTGGGACCTGATCTACAAATGGCAGTGTATACCCTGAAAATTTTAACGCATTGGGGAACCTCAAAGTACAGGGTTTCTTAGACCCCGAAGAGACCCAAGGACTCTCCCTAGGACATTCCGGACCCTCCTAAGGAGATACCTGGACCCTTAGGGTATGGACCCTCTGGGACAGTAGGCTTTCAAAGCCCCAGGTACGGGCACATGAAGCCAGGAGTCGGTGGCTTCGTAGTTTCGGAAACTATGGACTTGGTAGTCATCAAAGACCAGGACTTTCACCCGAGACCTTGTTTAACAAGGTCTTGCGATCCCCAAGGAGACACTAAACACCTACCTTCGCAACGATTGAAAGGACATGCTACTCAGGGTTTAGCGTAGGATAGTAGCTCTGTAGGTTAGCATTCGGGGAGTGGGGGGGGGGGGTATATATGACTATCATATACTTGGTTTCTTAGATTTGCCTAAAACCTAAACTCCATCCTGCAGGTGAACCACCTTAGGTACTCAGAAGCAGCACTCAAGCCACCACATCCGCAAGACCCGATTCCGTGACCACTCTGCGACCGTGTTCGCCACCAAGCCTAGGAGTTGGGTGCAAAGGATCATCTGAACCCCGACAGCCTTTGGAAAAACATTCTGCACAAGGAGAAGGGTACCTTGTACACCAAGGCTTTGGTGCAAGTGGGCGCCGCCATTGAGGGAAACCCCGGACTCGAGGCGGACCCACTCGCTTCCGCCGGAGTTTTACGAAGAACTCGTCCACGGCTACGAAGGCAGCGGCATCATCGACTTGACATGCACACTGACACTCCGGAAGCCTTATTCCTAGACCCCCGGGAGGATCCGTTGAGCCACCCTTCCTCACTTAAAGGAACATGGGATTTAGAAAACGAGACCGTAAACTAGGTAGCTGTATTTATGACTATCACTTATAACCCTACTAAATGTTTTGTTCTCTCCTTTCTTGCCAAACTCCTATAGTCCTTTAAGTAAAGATCTGAGCATCGAACTTAAATCCTGAGCCAACTATTCGCGGCTGAATCCTACGCAATCAAGACGTCAAGAGTCCTAAATCCTGAAGGTTTCGGTTTGGGGAACAGTTGTTTCTGAATCCTACGGGTTTGGGTTCAAGGTTTCGGCTTTAGGCTTGAGGTTTGGGGCTACAATTTCGTGAGGCAAGATGGCGCAAGCCCAAGCCAAACTGTAAACCTGAAGCCCTGTGAACCCTAAACAGCTAAACCCCTAACCCCCAAACTTAGGCCCTAAACCCTGAACCCTGAAGCCGTAAACCCTAAACCCCTAAACCCTAAACCTCAACGCCATAAACCCTGAAGCCCTATTCCAACCCAGGCGTGCTGCAGTTCTCGCTCGACCGCTGCAATCCGCCGAGATGCCTCTTGCCTTACGTGGAGGGTCGGGACACTTAGTAAGTAAGTAATCAGTAGAATTGTAAGTACCCCCAAAAGGAATCCTGGAGTATAGTATGGGACCGATAACTCTATAAAATATCAACTAAGTAAGTCTCCTGACCCTCCAAGTAGGATTGTGGAGTGAGGTTCCTTAAAGGTCTCCTGACAGGCAGGGACAAGGGGATCTACAAGGGAGATGCCACTTGCCTCAAGGACGAAAGCGACCCTTAAATAGTCAGGGCCCTACTATAGGGGCCTTAATAGGGTTTCATATAGGGGTCCCTTTAAAGGGATCCTTAAAAGGGTTCTCTATAACATAAGGGCTACTGTAAGGATACTGCAATATAGGGGCCGGATGGTGTGGCTAGTTGGTCGGTGCCGGTTGGCGCGGCTGGTGGGCTTGGTGGGGGGCCAGAGGGGTCGGTTTGTATGGTTGTCAGAATTGGGGAGGTAGGTGCGACTCGTTATTATCTAGTTCAAGCCCGAATCAAGCATTCTTAGTATTGTCTATCTTATATAGTATGTTCTTAAAAGTAAGGGCCCTATAGGGCTTAGGGTGTACTATGAATCCCAAGGACCCTCCAATGGCTCTTTAACGGAGCCCTTATGGCCCCTGACAGTGGGCATTTGAGGTATATTAGAGGGTAGTTGGGGGGTCTAGGTATATCCCTTATACTATGAATCAAAAAAAGTTTTTGAACTCCAAAAAAAGTGTTTGAAGCTTAAAGCCTTTTAGGTCCATTTTGTCCGCAATTTGCTTTCACCTCCATGAAAAGCCTCGACGGCACTTTCTGAAGGATCTCACCGCAAACATAGTCACATGTAGAACCCTGAACGCAGTCTTCGGTCTATTCCTGCAGATGTCAAGAACAGTTCTGAGTGCCTTTAAGGAATGCATTGTAAAACTCATCGGCGCCAACAGCCTACAACAACACCCTCAGCCCTAAAGCCGCACACCCATAAGCCCCTCGCCAGATACTGAATGCATAGTAGAAAATGATGCGAACAGCGTGCGCCATGTCTTTCAAAGAGCTACTGGTGGAGCACCTGTGACAGTCACTGCAGGGGGGGAATGGCCAAATTTGCAGGGTGGGCTTTGTCTGCGGGGTTCGTAGTACCCTAAACCCTAAACCCTAAACCCTAAACCTGAGCCCCAGTAAACGGCCTAAAGCACCCCGAAGCCCCAATAACCTGCAGCTGACAAGCCGATGCCCGTCTACCGTTATAGCCATCCATTGAGACTCCACAGGACCCCAGAGACTCCAATCTTCATTAATTCAGGAATGTACCTTAAAATATAGTATAGGATCGCTAATACGATTTCAGGTATATTCCTTACCCTAAGGGTCCTAACAAATTGGGAACCTCAAAATTGAGGGTTTCTGAGACCCCAAAGAGACCCAGGACTCTGCCTAGGACATTCCGGACCCTCCTAAGGAGATACCTGGACGTGGACCCTTACCCAGAGGGTCCAAGTACCCAAATAGTAGGGTTTCAGGTCCCAAAATCCATACTCTGAATGGTTTTTGGACCTTGAAACCCTGCTATTTGGGTGCTTGGACCCTCTGGGCTTAGGTAGTTAAGGGATACTGGAAGGTCTGGGACCACGAGGGCGGGTTCAGTTGAAGGTGCTTGCGGGTGCCGGGTGGACTCATCGCAGACCTTCCCAAATCCCCTATTTCATGAATGTACCTTACATCAAATTAGGGATCTTACTATAAATCATAGTGTCTTCCTCAATGGAGGGATATTGGAAGGTTTGGGATGCTTGTAATGCATTAGGGTGCCCTTCTGCTTTAGGATTCCGCTTCTTAGACGGAAGTTCCCGAAAATAGGGGACCCTAATATAGTACCCTAAATAGGATGCTTATTATAAGAACCCCAATATACGCTACCCCAATATGGGGAAGCTCCCGAATGGAGCACGACGACAAAGGGAATCCAAATGCAGTCTTCAAGGGGCAACTGGGGATGCCTAGCCTCAGGCTTTACTTAAGGTTTGGCTAAATCCTAAACCTATGAAGCCCAAACCCCCATAGGGTATACCCTTAAGGGTCCAGGTATCTCCTTAAGAGGGTCCGGAATGTCCTAGGGAGAGTCCTTGGGTCTCTTTGGGGTCTCAGAAACCCTCAATTTTGAGGTTCCCCAATTTGTTATGACCCTTATGGTACGCCCCATCTATCCGAAGTCCCACAGATACTTGGGCCCTTCGGGTAAACCTCAAACTCTGAACGCTGGATTCCTAAAGCCCAGCTCTTGGATCCTAACCTTAACCCTCATGAACCCTTACTCTTAGGGGCACTTAGAAATAATCTTTAATTTTTGGTTAGTATAATCCCTAAGAAACAGCTAAAATTATGATTTTTGCTAGGGTTCCAAGTTCGGTATAGTACTCCCTACAACCCTAAGCCCCAAATCCCGAACCCTACAGAACCCATAAGCCCCAAACTCTACAAACCAGTAGGTTAAGACCCCTAAATTAGAGCGTAGATCCTGAAAACGGTAGGTTGGTTTTTGGATCATAAGCACCAAACCCAAAACCGCCCCACGGCCGCCGAGTCTGCCTTAATTCCCTTATAGAACCCTTTATGGATCCCTTTCAGGAACCCTTAATGGTTATAAGTAGGTGTCTGTATTGTGACCTTTTGTAAAATGCCTAGTTTACTAGTCCATTGATTCTTTAAGAAGTCCCCTTCGTCCCTTTGTCTTTCTAAGGTTCCCTTGGAAATCCCAAATATCCTGATTATTGAGGGCTGCTGGTGAACCTAAATGAGGTCCTAACAATATGGGAGTTTCCGGAAATAGGGGACCCGAATATAGTACCCTAAGTAGTAGGATCCTTATTATGAATCTCCTATGAATCTCCCAAAATAAGGTACCCCCGCATTTTCGGAAACTCTAAACCCTAAACCCTTTAAAAGAACCCTTAGAGATCCCTTAAAAAGATCCCTTATAATAGTAACCCTTAAAGGGAACCCATGGGAGTTTTGGGGGGAGTCAGGTCCGAAGAGGCCCGGAGCTTTCTGGCAGCCGCTCCGGCCCTCGGAGGCTCGTTTAGGGTTTAGGGTTTGGGATTGGGGTTTAGGGTTTAGGGAGAGTTTAGGGGTTTTTGGGGTTTTGGTGATTTTAAGGCCCAGGGTTTGGGTTTGGGGTTTAAGGTTTAGGGTTTAGGGTTTAGGGTTAGTAGGGTAGGGCCCAGGGTTTGGGTTTGGGGTTTAGGGAGGGTTTACGGTTTGTTGTTTAGGGAGGGGGAGGGTTTGGGGGTCTTCAGGGTTTAGGGGTCTTAGGGTTCAGGGTGTGGGGTTTAGGGGAGTCAAATTCTGAACCTCTCAACCTTAAATCTTCCCAAGAATACCCGCAAAGTCCCGAACTCTAGAACCTTAAGCTCGGAACCTTAAATCCTAAGCCCCGATCATGCATCAACCAACCAACCGACCAAACAACCAACCAATCAACCAACCATGAAACCTATCCCTAAACCCTAAATCCTATAAGTCCTAAACCCTAAAGTCCTAAACCCTAAACACCGGACCTAAACCCTAAACCCTCACGAGCCTTGACGCCGCAGATGACGTACCGGACTTGCTCCCCCTTCCGCGCATCGGCACCTACACTCTGGGCCAAGTCCAGCAAGGGGCTGCTTGTCGGCGGTTTTAGGGTTTAGGGCTTTAGAGTTGAGGGTTTAGGGGTTTGGGGTTTAGGGGTTTACGGTTTGAGGTGTGCGGCTTGTTAGGGGTCTAGAGGAGTTCTTTGGGGGCCTCAGGAATTTCAGTTAAAGGGTTTCGGATCTATGGGGTGTGGCCCTGATATGTAGTTCTAGATCTTGAAAAAACAGGATCGGATTTCTGTAAATCCTCAACCCTAAACCCGAAAGGGCGCCGTGGGGGAACCTGACGAGTCGGATTTCTGAAAGCCCTACCGGTTTCGCCGAGATGATGAAGGACACTTCCAATACTATTCTGGCATTTGCAGAGCACAGATAGGGCTCCAAATAAGCAGTATGAGTATGCCCGTATAGACATACTGTCTCTAGATACATCTAAATAGTGCTTAGATGTATGGTGAGGAAAAACAATAAGATGCCAGTATGTATATATATATATATACACACACACGCACCCCAATGCTCTTTTTAGAGGCCTCTCTATTTTGCCATAATCCACAGATCTCGAAGCCCTATACCTATATATTCTATACACCCTATGCGCCCGAAGCCCATCATAGCTCTATGCCCTACAAACCCGACGCTAAACTATATGTTTCTGAAGGCCCCTAAGATGGAATGATGGTAGGTGGGGGAGACTGTCCGAGAAGAGTCTTGAACCCTTCAACCCTCGGGCATCAAGAACCATATACTCCATATACTAGCCGCAAGGGTCAACATAGCCAAATCACATAGCATATACTTTGGCCCCAAGTGCTTGAATGCCAAACTGTTCGGGTACAAGGACCCTCGAGAAACTTACAATCCACTACTATATCCTAAACACGAACAGTTACCTAGTTCTTGGCGGTCGATTGGACCTTCGAGTAGCACCCAAGGAGCCCCTGCGCCTCTCCTTGATGCATCCACCTGGAGCTCGCGCCCACCTCCCGCTGTCTGGCCCCCTCGACAGCCAATGGGAGAACTTGAAACTGTGTTGCTTTTTTTTTGGTGTAGGGTTCACCTGTACCCCAAAAGTATGCAGAGCAATGGCCTTTGATAGGTGTTGGGCTTAAATCATTTTACCTACCTTAGGGGATTCTTCGGTAAGGTTTAATTATCGTTCTTCTCGGGCCTCGGGCCCGGTTACTGAAGAAGCCAGGTCCAACCTCTCCTTCAGTTGGTTCATGGGCTCCCTGGCTGCAAAGGGAGCCTTGGGGGGTTGGTAGGGCCAGAGGGTTTAGGGGCTCCGGGTTTGAGGTTTCAGAAAAAAAAGTGTTTCGGGTTTCTTTGTATGGGTTTTGAGTGGTTCAGGATTTAAGGCATCCGGGAAACCCTAAATCAAATGAACCTTAAATGGAAGCCCACGACTCGAATCTGCCCGAATTCCGACAGCAAGCGCCAGGCATCCGGGGGGCATGTTTTGGCAAACTTATTTTGCTGGAGCCCTGTGGAAGGATTGTAGCGTGGTTATGATAAGAAGCCATTCAGAATCATGTCCATATTTGCTCCTTATCTAAACTTGATGGGCTGACCCAGAAAAATGTGGCTCATTTAATCCCAATTAATTGCTCACCATAGCCAGAAAGTCTCAACGTCAGCATGGTCTTTGTGCCCGGAAGCAGAGAAGCATGTAGCAGGGGTGCAGGGTGTTGGAAGCCCGAGTCCCTAAACCCTGAAACTCTAAGCCCTAATCGCCTAAAGGGTCAACCCGCCCGAAACACTCTGGTAGACCCTCTCAGATGTCTGTAACGATTTGCCAGGACTATGTGAAACTGAGACCCTTTTGACAATCTAAGTTAGCTTCAGACCTCCAGCTCCAGCGTCCGTGGGGGCTCCTTTCCTGCAGGTGCCACAAACCCTCCGAACATCCGAACTCGTAACATCCAAAGCCCTACCAAGCCCCTGAATCCCCAACAAACCCTAAACCAGAATCCCCAAACCCGCAACTCCTAAACTCTGTGTCCGAACACCTAAAATTCTTCAACGTCAATCTTGTTAACCCTGACCCTAACCCCGGAACCGTAAATCCCAAACCCCGAACCCCTAAGGCCCTTTAAGGCTAAACTCAAACCGTACACTCACATCCTAAACCCTAAGCGCTCAACGTGCCCGACCAACCAAAGATCTGGGTAGTGCCGGCTGTCAGTACGTGTAAAACCCCAAGCCCTGTAATACCCAACCCCTAAACCCATGAACCTTAAAACCTAAAAACCGTAAACCCATTATCCCTGAGACCATACCCCGCAAAAGCTTAATCCGAGAGCCCTAAACCTAAACCGTAAACCCTGTTGTGCAGGTCCGGGGGTTTGTCCGAGGGGTCGATATCGCGGCCGACGGCAGTGCGGTGACTCTACTGGCGCCTACGGCGCTTTGGTTCAGCTTGCAAAGGTCATCTTCGCATCCGTAGAGGTCATTTTTGGACTCCTCAACGGATCCTTGGGGTTGAGGCGGAAGGAATACTGCAAATATTAATTAGGCTACGAGTTTGCGTCAGGGCTCTTGTTGGTAGCCTGGTCGGTTTGCTTTTGACCCAAAGACCCTGATCTGCATGTTTGTCTTCCCAAAGACCAGACTGTATCAGGCTGTCTTGACAGTCGAGTCTACGGATTCTGTTCGGGTCTAGTTACGAGCATGGCGGGTGTACCTAGTGGGTCATACCCCACCTTTACTTGGAGCAGCTACTTTTTTTCTACTTCACCATTTTTTCTACTTCACCATGGAACTAGGCACCCTGGGGTAGGGCATGACACCTGACGTAGGGCTTGTGGTTTGGATTGTGTTGCGTTTCGGGTTTAAACCTTGAGGCTTCGAGCTTCAGGTTTTCGAGGGTCAGGTCGAGCTTCTTGCCCTCAATATTGGCACGGCCTTCCACGAGCCCCCGATGGCCTTTTAATACCTTGTGGTGTGGTTATCTGGGGTATAGTAGAGGTAGTCGGGGAGGGGGGCGGTTCTAGGTTGTTCTACACTTTTTGTGGCGTGCTACAGCTGGTATAGAAGTCTGTTTCTCGTATCTGTCGTATCTCGTCAGATGGGCCCACTTGAGAGGTTGGGATTCGGCATGCCGCACGGTTGAGGGTTTAGGGTTTAGGGTTGCTTCAGTTGGGCTTCGCTGCGGCTTTCCAAGCTCGTTCCTTCGACCTCGACTAATGAACTTGAATGTGCTTACTGGTAACCCAGACTCCTAAACTAAATTTTTAACTACTTTTAAGTAGAAGCCTTCACATGACAGCAACTCGGAAACCCTAAACCCCCCAACCCAGCCCATGTTCGCAAGGAGCTAGGCTTCACCAGTAATTGTGGTATTGGGTCCCAAAGGGCCATCCTGATTATGATTTTTGGGGCCTAATTCCGTAACAGCAGTGTATTAGGACCCTCTGGGGTCTGAGAGATTGGATACCCAGAGGGTCCACATATTGAAACGTACTACAATTATGGAAGTAGTTCCCCAAGGCCATCCTCATTATCGTTCTGAATTTTGGAGACCTACATCCACAAGGGTAGAATATGTGTATATATAGAGAGAGAGATATAAGCGGAGATGAAGCTTCTTGGGTATAGTTGGATGACAAGTCAAGTGTAGGTTATGGTGCTGGCAGGCTTTTTGGGCTTTGCGATCAGGGTGCAAGAGTTCGCATTTAGGGTTCAGGTTAAAGTAACTGTTTCACGGCTTAGCGCTGTTCAGGTTATTCTCGCCACGTTTAGGGTTTTTGTGTGGCTGCCCCTAAACCCTAAACCCTAAATCCCTAATAAGCTTCAAGATGTAAGCTGTTGCTATGCCGCTGGGCCCAACCCCAGGTCGCTGTGCCGCAAAATCCGCACCCTCCACAGTTCAGGGCACGTTTAGGGTTTAGGGTTGAGGGTGTAGTCCTCGTTTGATTATATACCAAACCCCAAAGCAATCTTTGGATCTTTGAGGCATCCGTCGCAGAATCGTTGCTGCCTGTCCGCATGAAGGGTAGTTGCTGTTTGTGATTTAACCACTAGTTTTGTAGTGAGGATCCTGTAATATGAATTTGGTTCACGAAAACACGAGTTAGAATGTAGGTTGAAGATAGATTCATGAAAGCACGGAGAGGTCGAGACTTTTCAGCCTCCAAGCAGTGGGCTACGTAGTCTGCACTGCCCTCAACCCCTGCTATTGTTTGAAGTCATTCGTCATCATCGCATGTTTTTCGCTTGGTTAAAAATTAACATCGCACCATAATTTCCTGGGGCGCATTATCTTTGTCTACCGTAGATGAAAAAAGTGCCGAGTCGTGCTGGCTTTGGTTCAAGCACTTAGACTACAGTCTAGCCCCAGTGTCGTTCTTCAGCCGTCACGGAGGAATCGTGACAGGATGACGGCAAAATGGGTTGCTGGCATTTTGAGCGGCATCATTTCACTCCTACTCTGTGGGTGTGGCAAGGATGCAGCGCCTAAGTTCCAGAAGGTCCGTGCCCTTGGAGCTCAGTGCAACATCGTGACGGGTGCATCTTGCAACCCACTCCAGATGCCGCTCCTCACAGGCGACACTTACGACCCCGATTACCTGATGGATGTTCCAGACGATCAAACCATCACGGACAACACCGAAAAAGAGGATGGAGAAAGCTCGGTGAGATTTGATACCGACATTTCTGAGGTGTCTTCTTCCACCGTCCATGATCTTGGGCTCGCCGGCAAACTTCCCACCGGCAGCGGGCATGTCGCACTTTCCGGAGGCGCAGACTTTCGGGACCTTGCCTCGAAATTGGACATCTACACCACCCAGAAATACTTCTCACTCATCACGCGCCGATACATCACACAGACGAAGTCGCTGACACCAGAGGCTAAGACATCCGTGGGTTCTGCTTTTCGGGATGCTTTGAAGGGTTTGCCCACAGCACCTCAGAGTGATGCGGAGTACGCCCAATGGTTCCAATTCTTTGAGAAGTTTGGGACGCACTATGTCAAGTCAGTCTCGTATGGTGGAGTCATGCGCATGTCTGTCTTCGTCAGCTCAACAGTCGAACAGTCCGAAGTCTCCGACAGAAGAACTTGGTCGTTCCTCTTGGGCGCCATGTTTGACCAGAAGATCGGGTTGGATGTTCACTACAATGGAAGCTTCACAAAAGAGCAGATGAAAGAGTTTTCGTCTTACACCTCCGATGTTGTCTTCCATGCTGTTGGCGGAGACCAGACGAAAATGAAGTATCAGGATTGGCTGGCCACTGTCAAAGCGAAGCCTGCAACGATCAAGACACAGTTGGGCTCCGTGGAGGATTTCATGCCAGACTCTATCGACTTCAAGAACATCCTGGAGAAGTACTTCAGCAGCTGTCCCCACACCGATGCGCTGGGGATTTGCAATGGCTATGGCCTGTGTGACTTTGGCCAGCACTCGTGCAATTGCAATGTGCAAGGTGCATACAAAGAGACAGATGGCAGCTGCTATCCGGTCTGCCAGGCTGGTTGCAATGGCCATGGAACTTGCTCCATGGGCAGGTGCAAGTGCTGGCTGAGAAATGGGATAGGGTTCACTTCCTTCGATTGCTCAAAACCGTGCGGCTCGCACATCTTTGACGCAGGACAGGGCGTCTGGGTGGACAAGGACGGTCGGAAATTGGGCAAATCTGACGCAGACCCGACTAGCTCCCCAACGTGTTTCTGCAAACAGACCTTCGACGAGTTTCCTGAGATCGTCGGCTTGCGAGATCAACCCGGTGACGTGGTAGGAGACCCCGATGACACATATTTCTGTGACGGAACCAAAGCCTGCTCCATGCCCTTCTGGCCGTGGGATAATTGCTGGGACTACAAGGTAATCCGGTGCCAGCACGGGGATAACGATTGCCCGGCGGATTCCAATTATGATCCCCTTCCCAACTGGGAGTCGCCGCCATCTCGCCCACGCCTGAATGGCACCATGGAAGCGCAGGTGATGGTTTGACGGGGCGTGGGCTGATCCACAGACCGCATCAGAAAGTAGCATCTGGCACGAGTGTGCTTGGCACTGGCTACATGTTGGATGCTGGACTGCATCCTTGCTTCTCTAGGTTTTCTGTTTAATCATCCTGGACGAGTGCAACTGTCACCGGCCAAGTTTGCAACAGCTTTTGTCGGATGGCTCGAGCGAAACTGGCAGCATCCATTGCTCTCAACTCAGTGTGCGAGCTTTGGGTGACAAGAAAGTTGGTCGCCTTGCCTGCCGGAGTCTTAAAGTCTCCTATAGCCCCAAGCCCTAAACCCTACGCCTTGAGGCAAGTTTGCTTCGACGCCTCAGCGCAGATCGTTCCTGAACGACCGAAGATGCCTGCATCAAAGTTCCTGACCGAAGCGTGCCCGGGCAAGATTAGCTTAAGTTGGGGATCTGAGGATTTGTGACCTATACGACTAATACTAGGACCCAGAGTAGGCCCTTATTCCCTTTTTTGAGGGTTCAGGTTCCCTTATAAGCCCCTTTAAACCAAAAAGGACACCCTTTTTATTCCTAGGTTACTCAAACCCTAAACCCTAAACCCTAAACCCTAAACCACTAATAAGGGTTTGTGCCTAGCGTTGTTCACTTCCATGGTTTGTCCATCGAGTTCGCTTGAATCGGAGCGGGCTTTTGGCCTCAGAGCTCCCATGCGCCGGAGCTTTTTGCGAATTGTGAAACTAAAAAAATCTCAGTTATCCTAGGGTTTAGGGTTTAGGGTTTAGGGTTTATTTGACAGACCCTTTCCGGTGTGCATCTGGGCCAACCGATGCCAGGAAGGCCTTCAGACTTACTGGAAGATCTTGTGAGCCTTATGACGGGTCAAGCTACCATCGTTGAAAATACACAGTGCATGACTGAGGATTCTACGATTTCCTGCTGTGGGTTTTTGCTCATTGGTTATGTTCGAAATCTGTACATCCATCTTCAGGAACAAAAAACGGACCCAAACACGAACTGGATGGGATATCCCTATACCTCATATTGCTTTGTTGTAATCGGAGCTATCTTCACCGACCAGCCTTCCTGACGTTCTCTTTCGCAGGTCTGGAGGAGTGGGGAGCGTGCCGCTCGGACTTGCTCCGGCTTTCAAACTTTGCGTGGCTAGGTGACTCCTGACCAACGGTTTTGAAAGGGTTTGTACGGGGTTGTATCTGCTTGCCCCCCCCCCCCTGCAATGCGCTACTTGATTAACTTTCTCCTTCGATGAGTACGCACGTAGGAGTTCTATTATCTGCAATTTTTTCCTTAAGTCCTTAAGGCCTGAAGCCTACATGAACCCTGAACCCTTACTGCTACTTGCACATCGGGGCCCAGCGAGGACCGGCTACGCCCACGACTGGCTGCTTCCCGATGGTACGGCTGCAGATGGGTCCGGCGCACAGAGCAAGGTTTCTGGCCAAGGGTTTGGAGTTGCTACAAGGGCTACCAAACGGTTTGTACAATGGTTGCCAGAAGTTCTACTCGCAGTGCTACTAAAAGGGTTACGGTTAGAGTTGCTATGAGGGTCGGTGTGCGACAGGGTCCAGACACGTCAGTCATCGGGACAGTACACCCCCCAAAGCCCTAAGCCCAAAACAACCCCCAACCCCTAAACATATGGGGAAGGTATATGTACTCCCTTTTCGACTCTATAATCCGGGTGTTAATTATCCGTCATGCAGTCCAGTACGCCCACCCAAACTATGCTCCTATCTGTGCGTTTTTCCATAAGATTTCGCCCTCGTGCTCTTCTCGCTCCGGTTATTGCAATAATGAATTTGTCCTGGGGGGGTGGGGGTGGGGGTGGGCTGATAATTCGCTTGACTTCAATCCAGAACTCTGAACCAAAACCTATGAAGCCTAATCCCTGAAGCGTGAAAGGATCACACCCAGGACCCGCACGTGCAGACGATGACGACGACCAGCGCACAACTACCCACATGCTTTTGCCGGCGGCGTGGCGAACAGCGGATAGCGCCTTGTTGTTCTGTCCTCGATAGTTCGGAAATTGTGGACTCGGGCAAACAGGCGTGAGCCTTGAGCCAGGTGACTCCCGGCTCGCTAAATGCCCGGGTGCAGGATGGCAGTGAAGGCGCACTTACTCGAGTCTGTGGCCTTCTTCATCTTGCGTCGCCAATACCAGATGTCAAGCACATTTCGCATCCTAGCCACGAGAGCGTTCGTCAATACCAGCACTTAGGACAAGGTGCCAAAGCGCTCGTGTCACTCATATGGCCTGCCGCCACGCAGCCAAACATCAATGTGCGACCCCCGAGCACCTCGTAATAGCAAGCAAACTATGAACGCCCAAACCCAACGTTATGTCTCAAACCTTCACTCCGTTTGAGCGCTGCCCAGCATTCTTGCTCCTGTGCCCAGGATCAACATCAACTGGCTATCATAAAGAGACATGATCTGTATAAGTATACACATATGATGTATGTGTGTTTGTGTGTATATATATATATATACACATATACATGTGTATATCTATGTATATATGTATATATTATAAAACATACCTACAAACATGCATGCATACATACATACATACATACATACATACAGATCTCTCTCGCTCTCTCTCGCTCTCGCTCTCTCTCTCTCTCTCTCTCTCTCTCTCTCTCTCCCTCTCTCTCTCTCTCTCTCTATCTCTTGGGTTTAAGGCTTGGGGTGTAATGTGCCACTTCCTCTTTTCAGTTCCCTGTGGTCGTTGCCGAAGCCCCCATGTTGACATTGCGGGACACAGAGCAAGCCCCATCCCCGTGGATCCTCTCATACGTTTTGTGGCCCTGAAAAAAAGTTCTCCGTATTTGTAGTGACCATACAAGGAAATATCCTAGGATGCTCAGAGTGAAGTCCTACACCGAAACAGCCCCAAACCCCGAACCCCATGCCCCACAGACCACAATCTGCAGCATCCTGGCCTCAACCCCAAACCCTATAAGACCTTCAAATCCTGAACACCACACGTCTTGATCCCAACCCTGCCGATCCACGTACCTATAACCTATATATACATAATATGCGAGCATGTCTCCCCCACCCCCGCCGCTTGGGTACATTGGAGGCTTATAACCACCAAGTCAGCCCTAGCTGACCCCTAAACGCATTTTTGCAACAATCAATGAACCCTAAAAGGTTAGGACCCGTTAGGAACCCCGAAGCTCTAACGAGACCTCAAAGGAATCACTGAAGGGAGCCCTAGAAGTAACGAGCCCTAGGAATATACCCGAAACCTTAATCCCCTAAACCCTCCGCCAATCCTCCAATCAGCCCCAGGCGGTACCCCTAATTTTCGGAAATTCTAAACCCTAAACCCTTTTTAGAACCCTTTTAGATCCCTTATAGTAACCCTTAAAGGAACCCTAAGGAAACTCCCAACATCAGCCCCAGGCTTCTCATCCGCGTGAGGGGCGATTCCACCCCAGCCTTCGCCCGGACGACGCGGCCGCCGGACGTAGCCCGAAGAGAGAGCCCCATTGGCCCCTGGGCGGTTTAGGGTTTAGGGTTTAAGGTTCAGGGTTTAAGGTTCAGGGTTTAGGGTTTAGGGTTTAGGGTTTAAGGTTCAGGGTTTAAGGTTCAGGGTTTAGGGTTTAGGGTTTAGGGCCGATTTTGGGAGTTTCCTTAGGGTTCCTTTAAGGGTTACTATAAGGGATCTAAAAGGCTTCTAAAAAGGGTTTAGGGTTTAGAATAAGAAAATCCGGCGGGTTGGGGGTGTGGGGGTTTAGGGGTTTAGGGTTTTTGGGTTTAGGGGTTTTGGGGTTCAGGGGTTTAGGGTTTAGGGTTTAGGGTTTAGGGCCGATTTTGGGAGTTTCCTTAGGGTTCCTTTAAGGGTTACTATAAGGGATCTAAAAGGCTTCTAAAAAGGGTTTAGGGTTTAGAATAAGAAAATCCGGCGGGTTGGGGGTTTAGGGGTTTAGGGTTTTTGGGTTTTTGGGTTTTGGGGTTCAGGGGTTTAGGGTTTAGGGGTTTTGGGGTTTAGGGTTTAGTGTACTATCCAGACTAGAAACCTGCATGACTATCGTAGACGTCCCTGGGCAGAAGAAAATCTAGAGGCTAATGTAGGAACCTGATTAAGACACCCTGGGCCTGTAACCCCAAACTAGTAGGATTCATATAAGGAGCCCGAATAAAGGCCCAAGGTTTCTTCATCAGGTTCCTACATTCGGGATTTGGGTTAAGGAAGGTTGAGGTTGCTTCTCATCGGTCCCCTTTCCGGAAGCTCTTCCTTCCAAGACATGTTTCGAACCGTTAGCCAGCCCTGAATGCCTAATTATGAGCTGAAAAGCCCTAAACTTAAAACCCCAAGCCCTAGATCCTAATCCTTGCGACATACCCCCCCACCCCCCCCCAGCCCCCCCTCACCCCCCAACAATGATGAGGACAACAAAAATGCGGTACGCCTGATTCTCGGACACTCTAAACCCTAAACCGTCTATAGAACTCTTATAGATCCCTTTAAAGGAGCCCTTATAGTAACCCAGTGACTGTACACGGAAACTCCCACATCCCCGGAATCTCTAGACCTGGTAGTAGAGTAGATAACCTTTAACCCTTCTTGGTTAGTATAGTCCCTATATAATCCCTACATAACTATAAAGGTTATCCTTTAGTTCCCCATGATGCCCGACAATGCCCTAAACCCCTAACCCCTAAACCCTAAACCCAGAAAACCCCTAAACCTTAAACCCTAAACTCCTAACCCCTAAACCCTAAACTCCTAACCCCTACAACCCTAAACACTAGTCCACTAAACCCTAAACCTCTAAAAGAGCTTGGGGAACCTCAAAGTTCAGGTTTTCTGAGACCCCGAAGAGGCCCAAGGACTTACCTGGACCCTTAGGGTTTTATTCCTAGGTTACTGGGCATCCTAACCTAGTAAACCCATAAACCCCTGTAAACCCGTAAACCCCCAACCCTAAACCCTAAACCCTAAACCCCCTACAAACCCGGAATGTCGCGAAGAGCCGAGGATTCCAGGTCAACAA